AGAGACGGAAGTTGATGTTATTTTCCATTGCGAAGACAAATAGAAAGATATGAAGTCACTTCAAGATTCAGGACGGAATACACATATTTTTGTACATACAACACCTTTTAATACTTCCTTGCTTCTCACATGTCACTTTCGCTTGACCTATAATGAAACATAGACATTGTAAACTTTTTTCTGATTGCTTATGTCATAGATGTCTTGTTTTCAGTCGTCCAAGAGCTCTCTTGTTTTCAGCCCAGGCTCATGTCTTTGTGTTGTATCTCTCAAGAGTGAAGATAGAAACTAAAAGACTGAACAGAATCAAGAACAAGAAATAACGATTTAAATTGTAGATAAAAATTAACATTTTGTCTTTCCATTTTGAATTCCATTAGGTAAGAAATCAGTGTTTTTGTACTGAAGCAAAACAAATCTGTCAGTTTAAATGCTATAATTGTTATTTTGACAAAAAAGGTTCCACCAATACTGAGACGAGATGTTTCAAAAGTATTGTTGGAATAGTTTTTGTTGTGGATTCACCAGTCAAAAGTATTTCTCCATTTGATAATTTATATTCCTTATAAATCTCTAACATGTCTTATTTTAACTTAAACAGTTGTTTCATGAAAGTTTTATCTTTTGAATTCGAAATACAAGTAATGAATTATCATATTTGTTTATACTTTTGACTGGTCATGGTAAAACAAATTGAGGTCGACTATTTCAGTGTATTCTCATGTCACTGTTCCACCACTGCTGTACTTTTGTACAGTATATAAAAGTAGTGTTGGGATGGTGAGTGGGAATATTTATATAAATAATCTAACTAACTTGAATCATAGTGTTGATATAAAACTGTTCCACCATGGCTGTATATGAACAAAAGTCAATGTTGGAATGGTTAAACATTTGAAAATATAACATACAGATTATAACATACTTAACTGTTTCACCATTCCTGTACTAGAAATGTTGGAATGGTTATTTGAAATGTACAGGAAACCGAACAAATATCTTCAATAATGAAGGAACTGTTTCACCACTCGAGAAAAATTATTTCTGAACAAGTGTTGAGATGGATCCTTTATGTGTAAAGCTTAAAACAATTGAAAAAAAAAACATACATGTACTTAAAAATTATGAAAACAGAACAAAGCAAAACAGTTTAAACATGAGGTCATAGAACAAATACATTGATACCAAGTCTTCATTTGATTATTGTTAAAAGTTATCATGGGATAGCTCAGAAGGCAAGTTTTTGGGGTCTTATTAGGGTGACTCAATCCAGTCCATTTAGAAAACATGAGAATTGCCCACCCAGATTTAGGGCAGCAAGTTGACAAGCAGATTGGCTTTTCAGCATTCAATTCCTAATTCCTTTTTCTCATAGAAAGTTAGCATTTATATAACGACTATTCCCCTGCAGCACAAGCACATGCTTCATTCTCCTCAACCTGACTGTATTTGTGGTCTCCTGGTAGTGTTCTAGCCTTGAGTGTTGAAGGTCAAAGATTCTATCCTTGGCATGGTCAATTTAAGACTTGGAAAATTAGTATTTGCCACTTGTCCACTATGCATGTTGCATTTAGGAGGAAGGGGAATGACTGGTTGGCTAAGAGTCTAGTAGGGTGACATGTCTTCCTGTGGATTGTTAACTTTTGAACTAGCACATTGAAAATCTGGCTGAGCGTGTTGGTCAAGTACAAAGCAGGGTTCATATTCTTATCAAATGAAATCTTGCTCCAAGTAACTGGAAGTGGAAGGTTGATGGGGAAAAAATTGTTTTATGCTACAGGGATGTCTGTGAATAAATAGTAAACATTTTTAGAGAAAAATAAATAAAGAAAAGAACGATGTTTGGTTTATCTCTTGATAATGGATTTTTTACATTTAAGTGACAGAAAATTGCCTCTCCGTATCTGGATTGGCAAATTCCATGTTTTCTGTAATGACTGGGCTCAGACATTCCACTGCTTCAACAAGTCTCCATAACAGTTTGTCAGATATCAGAGGAATCTTGAACTACCTATTTTTTATACGATTTTAACAGTATGATATATATACCTGTAAACTGGATATAGAAAAAGTACATGTACAGAGATTCTGTAAATATGTGCAACTGCATTGAAATTTCTTAGTACATTGTTTGTATTTGTATGTGTTGGTACGTTTCACACATGTAGGAAACTGCAGTGCTCCTAAAAAACTAAAAATCATTGACAAAAAAATTGAGAAAAAATTAAGACATGTCAGTAGATTTAAAGCAACTTCTGTTGGCCTAAGTAATTTTTTTGGTAGAGATAATAGACTTTTCACACTACTGAATTTTGACTAGCTGGATTAATATAAAATATGACAGATTACCTACATAAGTTTGGACATTCTGGTACTCTGCCAAGTAAGAGCAACTAAAAAAGGATAATCAGCATACCATCAGTGCATTTTTGGGAAAAAATAACCTGTTTTCGTATGATTTTGTCGTGTATAGAAAACGTATAACAGTTAAATTTTTTCCCCAAATCGCAACAATTGTAAGCTTGATTTTACTTCTTTTAGTTGCTCTTTAAATACTTAACCAAGTACCAGAATGTCTCAAGAAAAATTAGCTTTCGAGATGTTTGGGCCACACTATTTCTTATTGTTTTTAACATGTATATATATGCATTAATTGTTATGACAGAAGTTTGTTTTGAAAAAGAATATTACTTAAGAAAAAGTAATTTTGTCATAATGTGTATGTCCATCTACTGTGAAAAACGAAGATGTCACGCATGATTAAGACATTAACAATGTTTCCTTTTGACTTTTATAGTGCTTCTTAAATACATTTTTATAACAAAAGTAGAAAATAAACAATTTGTCCATAACAAACATGCTCCGTGTTGAAGGCCGTACCTTGACCTATAATGGTTTACTTTTATAAATTGTAACTTGGATGGAGAGTTGTCTCATTGGCACTCATACCACATCTTCCTATATCTATAAATATTTTTATGTATACTTCATAAGGGCTATTCCATTAAAATGTATGTGGGAGGGTAGGAAGGGACTTCCAAAATAACCCTACAACCAAGAACCATTTTTTAGATAATTTTGCATAATGGTAATAGACGCATACTGAAAAAAGACCCATGACCCACATTCAATAATTAAACTTCCCTTCCTACCCTCCCACATACATTTTAATGGAATAGCCCTAAATACATTTTTATAACAAAAGTAGAAAATAAACAATTTGTCCATAACAAACATAAATATTTATAAGTATATTGACGCTATGTTTCTGTTTATATGTATATTGACAGTCAATATTCATGATACTAAAAATCTTGCTAAATTTAGATCCGGATATAAGCGGTTCTGGTCCCAAATTACTCTATGTCATGAAGTCAAACATAACAATCAAGGGAGAAGTGCCGCAGCAGATGAAAATTATATAATTTGAATTCTTATTTGTTCTAAACAAACAAAAAAAAGATATGTTGTGTTTTTGTTTACAATAAAACAAGTTCATCTTATTTATTAATATTTTCAATGGCATGGGATCTTGCAAAATACAATTTAAAAATACACAGAAAGAACATTGAAGTCCATTTTCCTAATACATTATATTTACGTATGTAATAACTATCATATTTTTTATGGAATATTTAAAAACTAAATTTTTTATTAATAATCACCATTTTACGAATTTTCTTAAACCATTCATCAATTGATACATTTTTATCAAGGAAAATAAATGTATATATATATAAACAAGTATATATGATGAAAATGTATTTTTTCCATTTGTTTCTTAACATCTGTTTCTAGAAACAATTATATTTTCCTTCGTTTATAACAATAAAAACCATGGTCGAAATGACTTTCCAAGTATGTCGGAACTGGCAGTATAGCCGAAAACGACTGTGGCCAAACTGAAAGTGTGACAGAAATGTCCTGCATCAAAAAATTATATACGCCTGTGTCAAAAGTCAGTAATATGAAAAATGTCTTTGTCAAAAGTCGGTAATATGAAAGAGAGGTAAAAGATTCCAAAGGGATATTCAAACTCATAAGTCGATAACAAACTGACAATGCCATGGCAAAAAAACGAAAAGACAAACACTACACAAAACATCAATTAGACAACTCCCCTAGCATGACTCCCATGTTATGATTTATAGATTAACATATGATGGTTTCAGGTAAATAATACCCGTTGGTTCATTATGGTAGTTGGAGTAGATTATTATAAAGGCTTATGAAAGACATAGTCTACTCCTGCTACCATAGCAAATAAAAATTTGACTTGGCATCTACTGGTACTATTCACATAAAAATCAACACGAATATATATATAATTTTGCATTATTTAGGGACTTGTTTGAACATGATAGGTACATTGTAAACAGTGAATAAAATGTTGACCTCTGTTGTTCAACATATGTCGGTGTTTTAATATTATAGAGTTACCATTTAAACATGACATTGTATCTGTCATGAGGCTACTGTAAGGCTTGAATTTCTTGTACATTGTTTTGAAACATTTTAGCAACTGTGATGATAAGGAACTGCAATTATAACTCATTTAAGTCTGTTCTTTCTGCTTTTGGTAATTTTCAAACAATTGATAGAATTGTTGTAAATTACATCTTCATCATGAAATTATGGTTGACATGTCATTCTAAATGTATTTACAGTGCTTCCAGTAATTTCTGTCGGAAAAAAATGTTTGTTTGTTTAAGAATACTAATGAAGCAATATTAGAGGAAAAGAGATTAATATTTGTACACTCAAATAAACATGTACAGCTGTGTATTATTGCTTATAAAAATCTGGAAATAGTTCCATACATTATATTTTGATAATCGATCGTGAATGTTTAACATTACTGTATAAGTAAACAATAAAAATTATTTCCATATTTTCAAAGAGTACTTGACAAAAGACCATAAAAATATTATGCTTGTAAGATTTGAAAATAGAGTTCTGAAGAACCAAGACTGAAAATCTTGTTTACTTGTACATTTCAGTGGACAGTAAATGGAGTGTTGCGTGTAGGTTTCTTCACAAAGAAAGAGATTCCAGCAGGTACAGAACTGACCTTTGATTACCAGTTTGAAACTTACGGGTAAGTTGAACCTTGAATTCTATGATCTTCTTTAAATTTTTAAATGATTACACTTAACAGTCTAATAGCAAAATGTTGCAAAGACCACTATCCTTTTGGAGGTAAACCAAAAATCCTGCAATAGAGATTTTGTCAACCAATCTAAGTTTATACATATAAATGTATCCTTTACCTTATTTCTCTTGCATTTTATCTTCACCGTAGCAAGAATAATTTAGTCTTAGTAATTACTTGTTGAAAGCTATATCATGATGAAATTTAAAAGAATGAATTGTCACATTCAAACTGAAGGAACATTTTATGGATAATTGATATTTGAATTACAGTAAAGAAGCTCAAAAATGTTTTTGTGGAACAGAAAAGTGCAGAGGAACGATCGGCATCAATAAATCAACTCCATTAAAAACCAAGAAAAAGCCAGCAGAACAAGAAGAGGACAAGAAGGCTTCAGAAGAATTATTTCAAGAGGAAGATGTAAGATTTATTGAACAAGGACTTATCTCAGAAAATAGGGAATATTTGTTGCCAAAAAGAAATTGTTGGTTTGTCAGATAATGATAGTAGAATCAGAAAAAGTATGTTTCATAGCTCTAAAAACTACCGTTGCACAATTTTACATAAAAGAAAAGGATTGTTTTTTCAATGGAGGCAGAGCTATGTTCAATTTTATTTTAATAACTTTTTGTACACTCATTGATAAATTTATGAAATAATGTGTCTGTTTCACTCCCATTACCTGATTACATATGTGAAAGTATGATTTGTACTAAGAATAAAGTATATCTCAAACTGCTTTTATTGAATGGCGTTGTTTCAAATCAACCATAGCCTGTGGTATTAAACCGATAAAAAGGTAGTATTCAGAAATAAAAAAATTTCTATTGTAGATTGAAGAGGAATTGGATTTGTTATCAGAGCAAGGCTTACACAACAAGACAGATGTATTGAACTTGTGTCGTCTGATGGTTAGGTCTGAGGAAACACAATTTAGGATCAAAATTCTCAAAATCATACAGGTAATATATTTTAATTACTTCTGTTTAAAAAGTTGGCCACTTTTTAAGTTAATCTTAAAGGGGCATTAGCTGTCAAATTCATGTTCACTAATTTGACTCAAATTCTCATAATTGATTTATAACATACTAAAACGTATATCCAAATTACATTAAGTCTGAAATAAACAATATAACAATAAACAATGCATGGACTCGATAATATATGATCAGCGTTTCGTGTGCATTTTAGTCTAGTCGCCATCTAATTAATCATCGAGATGACCTCCGAAGACTGCCGACGGCCTCATAACCCGATATAAACATAAACTTAAATATGAATAGATATCGACCACTTGAAATTGGACTTTTCTAGGTCTGTTTGATTTCATGTTATAGGTTAAAAAAATAAGTAAATCATCGTTTTTGTCGAGCCTTCGACTTTTGTCGAAAAAGCGAGACATAGCAATCCTACATTCTGTCGGCGTCGGCGGCGTCCACAAATATTCACTCTGTGGTTAAAGTTTTTGAAATTTTAATAACTTTCTTAAACTATCCTGGATTTCTATCAAACTTGGACAGAAGCTTGTTTATGATCATAAGATAATATTCAAAAGTAAATTTTGTGAAAAAAAAAATCCATTTTTTCCGTATTTTACTTATAAGTGGACTTAGTTTTTCTGCCAGGAAACATTACATTCACTCTGTGGTTATGTTTTTAAAATTTTAATAACTTTCTTAAACTATCCTGGATTTCTACCAAACTTGGAAAGAAGCTTGTTTTTGATCATGAGATAGTATCCAGAAGTAAATTTTGTAAAAAAAATCCAGTTTATCCATATTTAACTTATAAATGGACTTAGTTTTTCTGCCAGTTTACATTACATTCATTCTGTGGTTAAAGTTTTTTAAAATTTTAACAACTTTCTTAAACTATCCTGGATTTGTACCAAACTTGGACAGAAGCTTGTTTATGATTAAAAGCTAGTATATATATATATATATATCTAGAAGGAAATTTTGTTAAAACTTTGTTCCATTTTTTCGTATTTTACTTATAAATGGAATTAGTTTTTTTTCCAGTTAACATTACATACAGTCTGCAGTTTAAGTTTTTAAAACATTTATTAGATTCATAAACTATCCTGGATTTTTACCAAACTTGGACAAAAGCTACTTACAATTAAAAGATAGTATAGAGAGGAATATTTTTATTAATTTTGTTCCTCATTTTTGTTGAGCCTGCAATTAACAGCAAAAGTAGGCGAGACACTGGGTTCTGCGGAACCCTTACAAATTTTTACCTGCATAAGAATGATTTTTTGTGGATCGAATCAGTCAACAAAATGGTTCACCTTTGTTTCACTTTCAATGTTGACATTCTTTTCCTTTTAATGGCTGAACATTTCTATATCTCGTAGCTAATGCCCCTTTAAAAGCTTTTATAATAAAATATAAAACATGTTCAGATAAAGATTTCTCAGACTTTGGAATTCAAATTCATAAGTATGTATGAATTTATTTAGAAATTGGTTTTCCAATCTTTTTACCAAAATAGTGTTTAAATTATATTTCTTTCATGAAAAATGATTAACAAAATAGTAAACAATCTGCAGAATTTTCAAGCTAAGTTATAGAAAACTTATTTAGATAATTCCAGTGTTATTTTAATACTTTCACAAGCATAGTTGAAGAGAACCTCAAGGTTTTGTAAAATTATGTCTCATTTTGTTGTGGAATTCAGGAATTTTGATTGTTTATCTGGAGGTGGCTCCTTGATGAAAAATAAATGGTTTGTCAATTTTTTGTGGTACTCTTTGCTTATTTTAGATTTGCATTGATTAGACTGAAAGTTTGATAAACATAGTAATACATGTTCACATAATGAAATCTCTACATTATGGAACAAAATACAGAAATTTAGTCAAGAGGTTATAATGATCACAATGAAAATAACAGAGGTACTGTAAATAAAGAAAAAAATTATATTGTAGGAGTGTTCTGATAGAAATTGTTTGCGACTTTTCCTGGATTACCATGGATTAGAATTACTGTGGACTTGGATGGCAGATAAGACAGAGGAATGTCAGGAACTCAAAGTTCAAGTAAGTTATTTAAAATTTACAATTGTGTCCTGAATATGCATGTGATATGTTCCACTTGATGTTAAGCAGCCATCAATCAGTCAATAAAAATTAGAATATTTTTAATTTTTTATGATAATTTACTTATACTTATAATACTGGGATTTACATAAATATTGATTTTTTTTTTAACAACCTGATTTTCGTTTTCTTTTCCAGATATTAACAATTTTGAAGGACTTGCCAATTAATACAAAAAATATGCTTAAAGACAGTAAAATATTGTCCCTTGTTCAGAGATGGGCTGGACGAGAAGAAGGGGAGGAGTTACAGCCCTGTCAATCAGTGCCTCCGCCTCCTGTACCAAAGGAAATGCCCATTTCTATTCTGGCATCAAGCAAAGAGACAAGGCAACTGAAAAAGAGAGTTAGGTTTCCTGACGAAGCATCAAGTGACGATAATGAATCTAGGACAAGCACGAGTGACAATTTCAGTGAATACACAACCAATGAGTTATATACAGACTTTGAAGGAAAGACAGGCGCTGGAAATGACCAAGTGTCCGAGGCTGAAGCCGTGGAAGGTCATCAGTCATCTGACATTGATTCCACGAGTGATGATTCCAAAAGTCGAGAACAGCCTGTACAATCACCTGCTGACTCCTCCACATCTACAGGTGATGTAGAATCTGTAGCAGCAGATAGCTCTTCTGCTTTGGAGGAAATAAAATACATTGAACCTCGACCTGATCCAATGGATGAGGTGGCAATTCTTGCAGATGAGTTACTTGTAAACTGGAGTGATCTTAAGGTATGTTATACTAGAAAAAATGAATTTGATTGACTGTTTATTAAGGTTTATTTGGTGATTACTTTGGTCTTTTAAAAAGTGGACGATACCAAAACAGACAATTTAATAGTGTTAGAGAAACTGACACAACCACAGCAAAAAAAATGAAAAATGACGAGACAAAAACGGTCAACAAAACGCTACATAAAAAACGTATACTTAACTTTAATATTCCTGACTCAGTCATTGATTTGAAGGTTGCAAATTGAGTTTATTGATGACATGTTACAATTACAGGTGATATATTACGGAACCAGGTAACACACATAACACGCCTGTAAATATTTAAAGAGCATAATGAAAAGAATTATGTTCAATTGATCATGTTGATATAAATTTCATGCAACTAGTGTCACTTGGAAAAATAAAGTATTATCAATTCATATTTTTTTTTCAATTAAATTTTTAAAAAGAATTTTGAGATTTCATGTTCATGTATTTAGTATACAGGTATAGATCACTGTGGGAAGAACATACAACGAGAATCATGAATCCAATATGACCCATTGTTTTTCTTGATTTTAGGAGTTGTTTAGAATTCCAAAAAAACAACAAGTTGAGGAAAGAAAAAGACATGAAAAGGAACTAGGTAAGATAACCCCTTCAGTGCATGAATTGTTAGGGACCCGCCGAATGGCGGCCGCCCTATAGGGATCAGTCTGTCTGTCTGTCCGTCCGTAACAAATTGTGTCCGCTCTATAGAGAACTGTTATGATTTCAAAGTTTATACTTGATATGTATATTAACCAACACCAGAGGGTGTGTCATAATGTATGTAGAACTTCCTAGGTCAAAGGTCAAGGTCAAAAACTTTGGTTTTAGTTGACAACCCCATGTCCTATGGTAAAGATCGTGTCTGCTCTATATCTTGAGAACCGTTATGATTTCAAAGTTTATACTTGCCATGTATATAAACCAACACCAGAGGGTGTGTCATAATTTATGTACAATTTCCTAGGTCAAAGGTCAAGGTCAAAAACTTTGGTTTCAGTTGACAACCCCATGTCCAATGATAAAGATACAAATTTTTTACCACACATTATTCACAGCGGGGCCCACAGAGATGGCTCCCATCTCAATGATATCTAGTTTGACTTAAAATTGTCTGTTTATGTCACATAATTTATTTTTTTAACAAAATAGGACAAATACAGTATTTTTATAGGCCGAAACAAACAAAAATACCTTAGGCATGTTTTGCTGTTCCTGTTTCCTCCCCATGAAGTATGTACATTACATTTTCATATAAGTTTAAAAACTAAAAGCAGGGTAAATACATGATATTTTAATAACAATATATAATAAAATGTTATGTAAGCTGCTAAAATAGATACACTTTATTAGGATAAAAAAGAAAATAACGCAAATGTAAGCAGTAAGGTTGTGCCAAACATATTTTGTACCATTTAGAACACAGCTTTGTTTACAAAGCAAAATAAGGACATCATATTAGAATTTTGTTTGTATACTATACAGACAAAGATAAACTTCAATTATACAACTCATTTAAAAAATCTGATCTTTAATAATTTGTTCATGAAGATTCATAGAATTGAAACTGACTCTTAGCATCCATTGTTGCATGCAGAGACTGAAGAGCATTTTTAATAAAGCTTGTTTTCTTTACAGATAAATCAGATGTTACTGTGAAAAATGAAAAGAGGATTGAACAGATGGAGAGAGTTCAAGATAGATTTAGACATTTAGGTAAAGTCAATTTCTGGAACAGAGGCTGAAGATACCAAAAAGACAATTTAAACTCATACGTCAAAGAGAGACAAAACCATGGCAAAAAACAAAAGAGACAAACGAACAAATAACAGTCTTCATTTTGCCGTTTTAATGCCTATTATTTTTGTGTAGGGATAAGCACTTGATTAATTTAGATTAATAAATATGTTCTTTTTTCACGGGACTATCTACAGTAAGAAAAGATCTATCCATTTATTGTTCAATTTGCCATTTCAGAATCTAATGCAGTCTAGGTAATTTTTTCAAAAGCGTACACCAAAAAGTTGTGATTGGTTAAAAGTTTCTGAAACAATGGAAATTTAACCACTGATGTAAGGTTTTTAACGTTTTGGTGTACGAACAATGATATTACCAATAGTCCTTTAGGTTCTGAAATGGCGAATTCCAAATAGTTCCAAATAGTTAATGAATCTGATAGAACAAATGAAGCTCCTATAGTGAAGAAAAGGAAACTGAGATACATATTTCTTCCTGAACATTGTATAGAAATCACTTGCTCACCAACATAGTATCTAATTAAATAGGTAAAAGAAACCATTGGTTCCTCACATTGAGTTTTGTTGTTAGTACATGTATGATTATGGTAAAATTTTATGATTACTGAAAGAGAATAACAAAATTTCAGACATCTCAATCTTTATTTACTGATTGTACCAAAAAGGGGTTGGCATCAATGTATTGGTAGCAAAGTTAACCAGATGACAACCATTGTTTTTTTTTCATATTTATATATAGAAGCAAAATTTGTTTTAATGGCATGATTATGAAATAATAGTTGCAAATTATATACCCAATTTATGAATTTTCATTTTTTGTTGACAGCTGCCGGCTGGGATACAAGAAAGAAAAAGAAGAGGCCCCCACCACCTCCTCCACCGGAGGATGATGAGTTTACAGATAGGCCAAGGTATGTTTTTTTTTCTAGATTTTGTTTTTGACTAGTACTAGTCCTATCTGGGCTATACACTGTACAATGAAAAAGTAGCAAAAGTTGGTGAACCAATTTTTTCAGAGATAATGTAGACGCTTTTATTTGATTACTGACAACAATGCAAGATTAATTGAGCTCAATTTTTAACATCCAATTATAATAGAAAAAGAATTTCCAAAAGATAAAGCAATTCTAAGCAAATAGCAATCTATTGTTTGAAAATATATGATTTTTTTTTATCATGGCCTAAGCAAGAAGGATTTTTTCAATTCAATTGAAAATGTAAAAAAAGGTGGGGAAAAAAATGATTGTCTTCAGGATATGCAATTTTTGAATTTCTTTTATACTATAATTATGAATAAAGTTTTTACCAATATCTGTACATTGTAGAAAAGTTCTGTTACCAACACCACCAAAGATTAGTAAGGAAGAAAGAAGACAAATATTTGAAGCCCAGGTCAAAGCACAGGAGGAAATGGCAGAGATAGAAAGACAGCAGCGAGAGGCTTATCTACAACAGTTCTACTCTGATCCAAACAATTACATGTACTATGGACAAGATCCCAATTGTCCACTGCCGCAGGGATTCCAGGTTCAACCAGGTGAGAAACCCAACATATACTATGACCAAGATCCCAATTGTCCCCTCCCACAATTGTAAATGTAGTGAATTTTTAAGATGATTATTTATATCTGTTAGCTATTTCTCGTTGTACCAGTATAGTTTTGTCATGAATTTAAAGACTTGACATAATCTGACATAAACAGCTCAACTAACAATATCTGTAAATGGGTTTTCCTATTTTTACCCTAAAACTGAACTTCTGATTGCTTTCTTTCCCAGGTACAAGGATGGAAAGAAAAGTCTATCAGAACTATAGTGTAATAATTGAATTTTTTGTATCTTCTATAGGTGTTGAAGGAGGCATGGAACAATACATAGACCCTAACACTGGTCAGGCCATACCATATGAGGTCATTCAGGCCTACATTGCTCAACAGCAGGCATTACAACAACCACAACAAGCTGGGTACACTGATGAGGCATTACAACAACAGTTGATGAGTCAACAGGTAAATTTTCATAATAACTATGATGCTAGCTGTAGCCTGTATGTTTATATATTCAGCCTATGATGGTAAAGGCGCAATATATTTTCATGTTTGTGTGTCCGTCCATCTGTCCCATATTAGGTTAAAGATTTGGTTAATGATAGTCTGGTTAGAGTTGTTTTAGGGTAGCTTGTGATCAACTGGAAACTTAGTATACATTTTCATTATGAGGTGAACTGTTTAATGTGTATGCCAAAGTAGGGGTCAGGGTTCTAATAAGACGAGACCATGAGTGATGAAAATCGGTCTGGATTCATCATTTTCAAAATGGTAGGTCTAAAGATTCATCAAGATTGTAAAATGTTGTATCAGATGAGCACATATATCATCATTTTTACAAAACAATTAAAAATAAATGTATTCCCATGCTTTATTTTGTCATGGAGACTAAAATGTTAAATTATATATTAATACAATTTCATCTTCTCACTGTTGGAATTGCAGTAGCCAAAAATGATGAGTCCCTGGACTTGCCTTCAGAAGTCCTTAGTGAGAACCTGAGGGTTTTGTGCAAATTTCATGGGTCAGTGACATGGAAATGGGATAGTTCGAGTGGGGCATTGTATCCTCTGGACACCAATCAAATGCTTTGTCACATAGGGGAATAGCCAAACTTATCTATTTCATATGTACATATAAGAATGGGACAATTATAGACACCTCTGATGGGGTTTATTTTGTTATAGGTACAAGAACAGATGTTGGCACAACAGGCCTTGGCAGGATATGCACAGCCAACTCCAGAGATGCTGTATCAACAACCAGAACAAGCATCAGGGGAATCTCAAGCCTTTATACAGCAGGTAGGTTTCAGATGTAAATGGTGCAAACATAAAATTGTACAAAATATTTTGTATTAGTTTAGTATTGGGTGAACTTAGTCGTGGCTGGTGAAATAACAAATATGGGGGAAAGGAAATGCACTTTTGTTAACATGGTTTTTTTTCTTTTCAAGTGCTGATTTCTTACAATTCTTTGAACTTTTTTATCCTTTTGTTTACTTTTTAATTTCTAAATAACAATTTGTTGATGTGTTTTTTTTATATGGTCTCAAGGGAAAACGACATATTTAATATATATTTCCAAAGATTTATGGAGTGAGATGAAGAGAAATCATACAACTTGGTCTGAATAAGAATATTTCATTAAACAAAGTAGATAAAAGTAAAAGCGAAGAGAATGACAAGCTGTCTTGCAGGTTTCATATGACCATGACCTCATTTTCATGGTTCATTGGACAATTTTTAGTTTTTGTGGTTTGGTCTATTTCTCAGATATTATAAGCAATAGGTCAATTATATTTAGTGTATGGAACCATTGTGAGGTGAACATGTCTGTCTGGCAGGGTTCATATGACCTTGACCTCATTTTCAAGGTTCATTGGGCAATGATAAGTTTTCGTAATTTTGTCAGTTTATCAGATACTATAAGCAATAGGTCAACTATATTTGGTATATGGAATGATTGTAAGGTGTACATGTCTGTCTTGCATGGTTCATCTCACCATGACCTCATTTTCATAGTACATTGATAATGTTAATTATATGAGATGCTTTTAGTAAAACCTTCATATTACAGACTTTCAACATGAATTCAATGATAAGTAAAACAGGCGAGACATTTCAGCATGTGCACTCTTATTCTTATGAAATTTTACTTTGAAAATTTAATAGAAGTTTTCTTAAATAGATAGAAAGGGAAGAATATTTAACTGTATAATATAACTTTATTTTTAAAGACAACTACTACAGACCAAAAAGTCTCTATTGCAGAAAGAGTAAGCGAGATTTCTGTTTTTTTTTTTATATCTCCACGTTTTATCTTGTAATGGAAAAAGTGGATATTTCTGTCATGAGTTCATAATGGCACTTTTTCATTCTTTACTTACCTTATTCATTTACCTCATACAAAATATATATCTATTATTTCATTATTTTTTTTTAGCAAAAACACCCAGCAAGCAAGCAAGCAAATATTTTTTCTTTTCATTTCTTAATTTACCAATAATTGATGGGCAGCTTGATATATGATTACACAATAGCATATTTAATATTTTTACATTTTTAACGACAATAATAACTTTTTATTTTCCTTACCAAGTTAAAGAATATAAACTATTAAAAAAACATAAATAAAATATAAAATAATAAAAGCCAATAATTTTAAAAAGCAAGTTTATAAATATGACTAAATTTAGACACTAAGAAATATGTCGGATGAGTATTTCAGAAATATCCACTGGACTAATGGTGTAAATGATCATATATTACCACATGTGCTGTGCTTAAACACATTTGTAGCCTTGCTAGTGAGCTCTTAATTTTAGCTTTGGTGCTAGGGTTGTATATTATTGCAGTGAATTTACTACATAATGTATTATTTGTGAATTGTTGTATAAAAGAATAGCTACATATCATTTCAATGATAAAGCATAATTTAATATTTATGAATCATTCTTTATATTTCTATTTTTTTTTCTTAATTATACTTTGTAAGTCTTCATTAGAAAAATTCCTTGTAGTTGGTTAAACTTTATAAATATTGAATATAAATTGGAAGTCTTTAACCATTTAAATCAGCATGAGAAAATATTCGTTTTCATAGCTTTTAACCTAAATACATGTATGTCAAATTTGAGTTTTTTAAATAAAATTTTAAGATGACAGAAAATTATAAAGTTAATTACATGTACATAAAATAAAATAACAAAATTATCCTAGGTTAAGTAGGTTAATGTTTTTATAATGTACATATTATTAATTTCTTTGTTTTTATTATTTTTGCTTTCTGTAGCAGTAAGTCCATCATTTTACAAGGGGATTTGGTACGACAAGGGTATGGGGCACAACAGGCAAAGGGATGTGGGGTTTGCTATGCTTTAAAAGCTATGGATTTAATGCTTCAATGTTGGCATATTCTTCTGTATCTTGTGTGTAATTTATACCCCTGCTCAATTGAGGAGCCATACATGTTTACCTCTGTTAGTCTTTACGTCTGTTCATTTGTCTGTTCTGAACACATCTCTGTCACATTTTTCTCAGCAACAACTATTCTGAGATCCTTGATATATAGCGCTAAGCTTCGTCTTATTATGTCATACCGTGTGACTCCCATTTCATATGTTCCACTTCCTGTGTGTCAAAAAAACTTTTTGTGCACATTTATGAGTTTTTTATCTCATTTTTGTCGAGCCTTCGACTTTTGTCGAAAAAGCGAGACATAGCGATCCTACATTCCGTCGGCGGCGGCGTCCACAAATATTCACTCTGTGGTTAAAGTTTTTGAAATTTTAATAACTTTCTTAAACTATCCTGGATGTCTACCAAACTTGGACAGAAGCTTGTTTATGATCATAAGATAATATTTAAAAGTAAATTTTGTAAAAAAAAAATTATGTTTTTTCTGTATTTTACTTATAAATGGACTTAGTTTTTCTGCCAGGAAACATTACATTCACTATTTGGTTAAAGTTTTTGAAATTTTAATAACTTTCTTAAACTATCCTGGATTTCTACCAAACTTGGAAAGAAGCTTGTTTATGATCATTAGATAGTATCCAGAAGTAAATTTTGTAAAAAAAAATTCCATTTTTTCCGTATTTTACTTATAAATGGACTTAGTTTTTCTGCCAGTTAACGTTACATTCACTCTGTGGTTAAAGTTTTTAAAATTTTAACAACTTTCTTTAACTTTTCTGGATTTGTATCAAACTTGGACAGAAGCTTGTTTATGATACAAAGCTAGTATCTAGAAGGAAATTTTGTTAAAATTTTGTTCCATTTTTTTCGTAATTTACTTATAAATGGACTTAGTTTTTCTTCCAGTTAACATTACATACAGTCTGCAGTTTAAGTTTTTAAAACATTTATTAGATTCATAAACTATCCTGGATTTTCACCAAACTTGGACAGAAGCTACTTACAATCAAAAGATAGTATAGGGAGGAATATTTTTATTAATTTTTTTCCTCATTTTTGTTGAGCCTGTGATTAACAGCAAAAGTAGGCGAGACACTGGGTTCCGCGGAACCCTTACGAATTTTTCTCAGCCAGTACAAGTCAAAGTTTCTTAATATATGGCACCAAGCTGGTTATGAATGACAGTGTTACACATTTTCATTTCCTATGGTGATTATTTCTTGTTTGCCAAAAACTTGGATCTTAAAATGTCATGAACATTTATGTAGTTGTTGAATTTACTGCAAATAAGGGTAGATAAAGAGGTGGGATAGAGCTCGCTGAACATCCTGTGCATTATTCCTGCGTAAAACATATCTTGTGTCTATATATTTATCCTTTTTGTTTGTGGGTACCTTTGTTGGTAATTATACAGATTTGTCCTTTTGTCTGTCAATCCAATAACTCTGCTTTTCACTCACAAACTTAAAATTCAGAGTTATGAGTGAATGCCGATACAAAATTCTATCAAAATAACCTTTATTTATATAATTACTGGTTATTTGAATTTAAATTTTCTTGACATACTTGATTTTTGTGTGTGACAACTTTTTTAGCTCACCTGGCCCGAAGGGCCAAGTGAGCTTTTCTCATCACTTGGCGTCCGTCGTCGTCGTCGTCGTTAGCTTTTTACAAAAATCTTCTCCTCTGAAACCACTGGGCCAAATTTAACCAAACTTGGCCACAATCATCATTAGGGTATCTAGTTTAAAAAATGTGTCCGATGACCCCACCAACCAACCAAGATGGCCGCCATGGCTAAAAATAGAACATAGGGATAAAATGTAAATTTTGGCTTATATCTCTGAAACCAAAGCATTTAGAGTAAATCTGACATAGGGTAAAACTGATTATCAGGTCAAGATCTATCTGCCCTGAAATTTTCAGACAAATCTGACAACCTGTTGTTGGGTTGCTGCCCCTGAATTGGTAATTTTAAGGAAATTTTGCAGTTTTTGGTTATTATCTTGAATATTATTATAGATAGAGATAAACTGTAAACAGCAATAATGTTCAGCAAAGTAAGATCTACAAATAAGTTGTCATGACCAAAATTGTCAGTCGACCCCTTTAGGAGTTATTGCCCTTAATAGTCAATTTTTAACAATTTTTTGTAAATTTTTGTAATCTTTTACAAAAATCTTCTTCTCTGAAATTACTGAGACAAATTTAACCATACTTGGCCATAATCATTATTAGTGTATCTAGTTTAAAAAATATGTCCGATGACCCCGCCTTCCAACCATCATGGCCGACTTGGTTAAAAATAGAACATAGGGGTAAAATGCAGTTTTTGGTTTATATCTCTGAAACTAAAGCATTTAGAGCAAATCTGACAGGTGGCAAAAATGTTCATCAGATTTAGATTTATCTGCCCTGAAATTTTCAGACGAATACGACAACCCGTTGTTGGATTGCTGCCCCTGAGTTAGTAATTTTACAAAAATTTTGCAGTTTTTTGTTATTATCTTAGATATCATTATAATATCTAATATCTAATACTATTAATTATGATTTTAACCTTATTTTACATGATTTCCAAAGCATCAGTAAATACAGGTGAGCGACACAGGCTCTTGAGAGCCTCTAGTTTAGTGTTCCATGCATTCTGATGTTATTGTCTATGGTGTTACAATATTTTTATTTCCTTTCACAGAACAATACATTTCTGTAATAACTTTAATAGATATAAGAAGATGTGGTATGAGGGCCAATGAGACAACTCTCCATCCAAGTCACAATTTATTAAAGTAAACCATTATAGGTCACAGTACGGTCTTCAACACGGAGCCTTGGCTCACACCGAACAGTAAGCTATAAAGGGCCCCAAAAAATTTACTAGTGTACAACCATTCAAACAGGAAAAACCAACGGTCTAATCTATATAAAAAACTAGAAACACTTATGAACCACATCAACAAACGACAACTACTGAACATCAGATTCCTGACTTAGGACAGGTGCAAACAAATGCAGGGGGTTTAAATGTTTTAGTGGTACCAAACCTTCACCCTTTTTCTGAAACAATAGTGTAACATCACAACATAGAAAGACACACTATAAAATATCAATTGAAATATCTTAACTCAATCAAAGGACATATTAACACCATTGAACATACACTGAACAAATAAATTTGACCTATGACACAATGTAAATACAAAATAAATAAACTAAGGGAAGAACAATAAACGTAACATGTTATATCGGTAAGAAGTAAGCCTATTTTTGCAATGGAATATTTTTTGCATCTATTTTTTCAAAGCCTTTGAGGATGTTTAAAATGATAATTCACATTTACATCCTTACAACACAGTAAAGTAATATTTTGATGATCATGTGCAAGTTTTATGCTTGAATGGCTTTGGTCATGTTAGGGATATTGGTCAAAATCTATAAAAAGCATGAGGGTGTTTTCAAAAATAATTTTACTGCAACAAGTGTCTGAAATAGTAACAAGCAGTTCTGAAATATTTTAATCAAAATTTTCTAGAATCATGAAAAACTTCTATATTTCAATGTTTGGTTCATATAAGTAACTTCTACCATAGTTAAAATATAATTTAAATGAATGGTTTGTAAATCTTACTTAAAATCACTTGTTATAAGACCTACAGCCAGTAACACAACAAGGCAAAGTAGAAACGGAAAGTTGAATCAATTCTTTATGTATGTCAGTTTGTTGGATCATGAATTTTCAATGGTATTTTCAAATGCGGTGTAGAGTGTAAAATCTGCATTAATATTAGTTGGATATTGATATGTTTTAATTATGGTGGTTTATTTCCAGGTTCAACAGTTACAACAGCAGCTTGAGATGCAGGGTCAGTTGGCAGGTATGGGGACATCTGAAGAAGAGGATATCCCTCCCCCACCATCACCGCCTAAGTCCAAGGCCCCAAAACTACCACCCAACTGGAAAAGTGCCAAGGATGCTGAGGGGAAAACGTATTATTACCATACTACAACAAGGTAAAGTTCAGCTATTTGACTGAGGCATTGGAGGTTGCTTTGAACTGTCCAATAGCTTTAATATTGAAAGCCTCATCATGGTATTTAATCTAAACGATACATAAAAAAGGTATAAAGTAAAAGGTAAAATGTTGACACAACATCAAACTCTATCAACCACCTAGCATGTGCATTTTTATCGAAAGAAAAGACAATATAGAACAAGATACGGGCTAGGTATCCGGATATAATGTGGTCATTGGTCATGTACATGAGATATTTGCCCCTGGACATTAAGCAATCAACAATTTATACACCTACTCTGATTGAGGGGTATACTGTTTTCCTCCCTGTATGTCTTTCCATCCGTCCCATAAAATTTCTGTTGCATTTTACTTATTTACAAATTTCAGCTTCTGTACTGTGTTTTTCTTTTTCCCGTTCATTGATTATTCAATATCTGTTTACAGAATACTCATATATACAGTATATATTTGACCATTTCAGACAAACTCAGTGGAGTCCCCCAGATTGGGAGGAGGATGACGATATGTCAGTTATACAAGACGATATGGACTTTGATACTCCTCCTGATGATATCAAGGTAAGTGTTGTTACATAAAAACATACTGGGACCCAGGGAAGGCACTTTAAAACATACAGGGACTCAGGGAAGGCACTTGAGAACACACTGGGACCCAGGGAAGGCACTTTAAAACATACAGGGACCCAGGGAAGGCACTTGAGAACACACAGGGACCCAGGGAAGGCACTTTAAAACATACAGGGACCCAGGGAAGGCACTTTAAAACAAACAGGGACCCAGGGAAGGCACTTTAAAACATACAGGGACCCAGGGAAGGCACTTGAGAACACACAGGGACCCAGGGAAGGCACTTTAAAACACACAGGGACCCAGAGAAGACACTTTAGAACATTCAAGGACCCAGGGAATGCACTTTAAAACATACAGGGCCCCAGGGAAGGCACTTTAAAACATACAGGGACCCAGGGAAGGCACTTTAAAACATACAGGGACCGAGGGAAGGCACTTTAAAACATGCAGGGACCCAGGGAAATCTCATTTATTGGTGATGGTGGTGTACAGTGAAGCTAAATGAAATTCTAAGGTTGCCTGCCTTGATATAGTTGGTAACCCTTTTTCAAAATGTCTTCTCTGATTTCAGTGTAAGTTTAATAGAACAAAACCTAAGTTATTCAAGACGATTTATTGGTCCTAGAAGCTAACAATTAACAAAAACATGAGTCTGAAAATATCAATGGTTAATGATGTGTTAAGTGCAAAGATAATTTCTTCTTCATAGCTGTTTTATGCTTATACACACATAAAAAATGAAAACACGTCAACGCTCGTCAAAGATACCAATATTATATATTGTAACGTGAGGCATGTGTTTCATTTTCATAAGTAAACTGATAGAAAATGGTTTAACAAAAACATTACATACATGAATACACCTTATTGCTATTTGTTCGCCATTGCTGCACATCATCCAGGTTCCTGTAAAATTTTGACGTCACAATAAAAAATATCTGACGCCACAAATGAAAAGTGATTGTTATGTGACATCAATAGTTTAAGTGTTGCATATTCTCCGGTCAAGCGTCGCAGATTCCCAAATAGCGATAAGGTGTATAAAAGAAGATGTGGGTTATACATTAACACAATTTAAATATTGAGCTATTCCTGGAAAAATTGTATAGGTTGGCATGGTTGGGGTGAGAGTAGGACAACACTTATAATTTTATTTGTACTTGGCTTAATCCCGCTGCAAATGTTTGCACCTGTCCTAAGTCAGGAATCTGATTACAGTAGTTGTCGTCTGTTTATGTAGTTCATACATGTTTCTCATTTCTCGTTTTTATATAGATTAGACAGTTGGATTTTCCGTTTGAATGGTTTTACACTAGTAATTTTTTGGGGCCCTTTATAGCTTGCTGTTCGGTGTGAGCCAAAGCTCCATGTTGAAGGCCGTACCTTGACCTATAATGGTTTACTTTTATAAATTGTAACTTGGATGGAGAGTTGTCTCATTGGCACTCATACCACATCTTCCTATATCTATTAAAATGGGTAAATAGTGTGGTTCTGCTGAGCATTTCTTTCCGAATGATATAAAATTATGGAGTTGTCCTACCCTAAGTTCAACTTTCTTCCTGTTTCTAAGCCTTGTACAAATACATTTATATTTCAAGACAATGTATGGTTATTCTAAACAAGTATATGTAGTTTCTGCATTACTAATCATCGCTTTATTTTCTCTATTGCAGTCTGGTAGGAAGAAAACAACTACTGCTGCTGCTGATACCTCAACAGAAACGGCCAAAAAGATCAAGGACCAGTTCAGACAAAAGGTCAGTATCATTTTACTTAAGGATGTAGTCATTTCAGGTTTAGGAATAATTGTCCGATGTCGGACTTCTTGGGTTTTTCCTACTATACCGGGTAAAATATTTTGACCCCATATCACCCACTTTTCTTTTCATAGAAGACTTCAATAGCTCATAAAAGGTCATTACCAAATTTTAACAGATTCTAGATTTTTTTTCTTACGAATTGAGACTCAAATAATGCCAATGCTAAATATAAGGTAAAAGTCAAAGTCTGCCTTTTCCTGTCATTTTGAAAAAAAACAAATACCTTGAAAGGAGTTCCATATCCTATCAATATTTTTAGCTTATTTTGTTCCTTGACTAATGCTCTTCTGATTTATAGAATCAATTTTAAATTCATGATTTTTTTAATTTCAATACCTGACTACATCCTTAAAGGTCGATGTTCTGTTGTACTTTCTGAAAGGAGGAAGTGCCTATTTCAGGAATAACTGTATTTTGATTCTATATCTCTGTCATAATCTCTGACAGTGTCAGATTTAATCGTGGCAAATTGAAATTGAGAGAAAAGGAGTCAGAATGTGTCTCTGTTCATCTTGGAATATTTGTTGATTTATTATGAAAAAGTTTCAGGCCCTTTTTTTCTAATGTTTGTTGATTTATCTTGGAATATTTCAGAATTTCCCTCATTCTTTGTGAGTACTTGCTTTTTATGACCAGTTGATTTTTTTTTTTTAACATAATTCAAAGTGTGGTTTATTATAGTTTGATCTCATTTCTTTATTAAACATAATTCAATTATGACGCCAAATTTCTGCCTTAAATCTGAATTATTATATTGTTTATTTTTAGATGTCGTCTTACATTGTTATCTGTCTCAATCCATATAGAAAACCAGACTGTAAAAGTGGCAGGATTACATCTACTGATGATTTCAAACATTTAGCTAGAAAAGTAAGTATACATGTACAAAAAAACACGTTAAGTTTGTGCAATTTGATCGAAAAAAAAAGGCACAAGAAACAAAAAGAAAACTGTATACACAGAGATGTGTCTTGCCTGTGTGACCTGATCAGAAACATTTATTGACTAAGTCTTGCTTGCATGAAAAGTCACAGTCAGGACTGTCAGAGGATAATTTGGATATGAGGAAGAAAAATCTTTAACTCCAGTTCAATAAAAAAAAAAAAAACAATTTAGTGTTCACTGGTATAGATGAAAAAGCAGTATAAAACACATAAGAAGTCATTGAAAATTTATAAAAGATAAGCTGAAGATTTAAAAAACCTTTCTATTTTGAAATATGCAGCGATAGATTTATATCCTTCATCATAAATCAGTTCAATCAAAAATACCTCCCTATTTTAAAGATCAGTCGGAAAAAACAACAAAAAATAAGATTTATACATTTTCATCTATTTGCAACTTCAAATTATTGAAATAGCACTTTATAAATTTGGTGCCGCCTTAGCACTTTTTAGCTCACTTGGTCTAGAAGGACATGTGAATTTATGCCATCACTTGGCATTCTTTGTTGTAAAATTTTTCAAAGATATTCTCCTAAAAATATAGAACCAATTTCAAGCAAACATGGTGAATGATCATTGGGTATCTAGTGTAAAGTTTGTGTATATGTATTACCGTCTGTGAACAACAAAGCCGCTATGGCTTAAATTACAACTTAAAAATAAAATACATTAATTGTCTTGTTTTGAAAACCGTTAGAGATGGACAAAATCTGACAGGGGCAATAATTCATTTGTTGATTCTTTAAATTTTGTAGCTTACTCATCATGTGATGTCAAAGGAATTAAAACATTGTCGTCATGTGGAGGACTTAGAAGTAAACGAAAATGTGAAAGCAAAAGCTAAAGACTATGTCAAAAAGTACATGGGAAAGTTTGGAATGATTTACAGGAAGTCGGCATCACCTGACGATTGAAGAGCATCTTAAAGGGAGACAATTTTTCTGTTGTGATATTTCAATGGATCCTTTACAAATAAGGAAGTCTTGTGCTGTTGACTGTTCCTTGGAAGGGGAATTCTTCAAAGGGAGATAACTTTATATAGAAAGAGGGCAGACTGAACGTACTGTAATACTATTGCATGGAAATTTGAATAAATGTGGAATTGATTGATATATGTGAACTGCATAGCAAGTTCCTGTTGTATATTTGTGTATTATTTAGTTGTATTAATTGTTACAATTTTTTTTTTTAAGTTTGAATGAATATTGTGGATAGATTTTATCAAGGAAACACATTTATTGTATGGTGGGAATTTATTCTGGTGTGTGTGATGTTTTCAACTGTAATTATAACTATGGATTTTATTTGAATTTATTGGAAGATGTTTTGTATTTAAAGTGTCAAGTATTAAATCCGGTGAAGTAAAAGACTTGACATTCACTAATAGCTACAAAGGGTGAAAGTTGTGTTAAAATTTCTTCCGAATTCGTCATAAAATACATCATCGTGGAATATTTATGGAAAATTCATGCTGATTCTTTTAAACATTTAAAAGTATCAAATGTTTTTTAAAAGTTCATATATCATGTTTTGGACTTACATAAGCATCATCTCCTTTTAAACTGGAATTCGAAGCAGAAATTAAAATTCATTTTAGATTTTAAAAATTTGTTACTTTGACTATCAAAGAATATTAATTAGAATGAAATGGCATGCCATGATTTTTACAAGTGGAAATTTTGAAAACATACTTGTATATTAGAAATGAATTTGTGCCAAGTCAATATTCTAAGTTTATTTTTTAATCGTGAGTATTTTTAAGTTTTACAGCATCCTTGACTGAAGCTTCTTATTGGAAAAAAGTAGTTTGTGTTGTCTGATTAAAAAACATTTATACAAAAACAGTAATCAGTGGCTAGGCATTAACAAAGTATTTTATAGCAGACATTTTGCATTAAAAATCAACATTATTTAAATATTCTGTTGGGTTTTCTTTGATTCTGCAAACATTATCACTTCATCCAAGATGTTTGAGTTTTATCATGTTCTTTCTTTATGTTCAAAGAAAGTTCTCATTCAATGAATATTTCTTGAAAAGCTGTCAATAGTTTTATCTGTCAGATGTGGTAGTGGTTTGGGTTTGTAAACATCTTCGTACAGTTCCAAGGTATTTAGTGCTATTTGTATTATTTTGTATTGTTTCATAATAGATGTTTTTATACATTTGCTTTTAATCTGTATCATGTTGAAAATGAATCCAATGTTCATGGTCCATTTTAATACATTCACATCCATTCGATTGTAGAATTATCCTTGTAGATAAATAATCAGATTTTCTTATCTAATTAATATACATGTACAAGTTGGACAGTTTGACTGATGTACTTGGATTTTAATAAATTCACATCCATTGGATTGTAGACTTATCCTTGTAGTTAGATAATCAAATTTTCTTGTCTTATTAATATACAAGCTTGGACAGTTCAACTGATATACTTGTGACCTGGTAGGTTTTACACCATATTTTAAAAAAAATTGCATTGAAAGTTTATTAACTGATTACCGCTCAGGGACGTCTTGTACTTTTATTTTTCTGTCAAGGCTCAATTTCATTTGGCTTACAGCAGATTCCATTGAGTGTGTAGCCAAAGGTAATATCTTTGGTTAGCTTGCTTGTTAGCTGAACCGTGAAGTCATTGTTAGGTTAGGTAAACTACCCTACTGTAAGAATAGACTAGTCCGACAGAAAACCAATCGATCTGTCTGTTGGACTATGCTACTTCGAAAGGAGGGTAGTATACCTGACCTAATAATGACTTCACGGTTCAGCTAACAAGCAAGCTAACCAAAGATATTACCTTTGGCTACACACTCAATGGAATCTGCTGTAATGAAAAACCTGCCAATATATTATCAGAGTAGATTCTATTCAGTGTTAAGGGTATTCTGCTGTCTGCTGTTATTAATTTTGATTTATCAATTACAATTTCAGTATTATACCATGGATTTAACCTGATTTCCACTTTAATTTTTTAAAATAAATATCAAAGAGCTTAATCATCTCTGAGCTAACAACAGTTTGAACTCATTCAATCTTGCCAGTCTTGAGTAAAATTCTTTATTCAGATAAGGAACTTTCAATGGAATTTTTAAATGCAGTGTAAATGAACATTTGATCTTTGTTAAGTACACTAACCACAACAATGAAGTTTGAATTGTTATGTTTTTATTTTCATTTTCACATTTTATATTCATTCACATGAAAACATTTTGCATCTTTTTATATTCAGAATGCCTGTATTGTATAAGCATCTGTAATTATGTTAACAATATCCATAAATTTGAAGAAATTATTTTATTTTGCCGGCAACACATGTTGTTTTCTCCTTACAAATTCATTTTGAATTGTTTAAGTTTTCGTTCATTTTTGTTCATATGTTTAAAGTTTGAGTGAAATCGATTGTAGCCAAATTTCAGTTTTGATAATTTCAGATATCAGTAAATTGTATGTTGGAATATTTTTTTTTAAATTGTTTAAATAGCCGATTACTGTTCCCATGTTTTATATTATAGTCCAAATAGTTTTATTTACAAAAAAAAAGAGAGAAAAAATGTAAATGTTTTTACGACACACTGTATGGTCGATATCTTTTATTGGCATACACCACATTTGATAATCCCATTGAAATTTTATATCTAATATCTGTAGATAATCTTCAATCCCTTACAAATGCAAAAAAAAAGAAGTTTGCTTGACCTAAAAGAAGAGATGACTAAAAGTACAATACATTGATCCTTTTTTTTTTTTTTTTTTTTATTAAAAAATGAATTTTCAACGGTATTTGTATGCATGGTATATGATTTTCATTCACACTCTTCTACAGTTATGGTATGATATTGTATTGAGTTATGTATAGGATGTGGATATTTTAAAAGATTTTAATTGTAATTATAGGTTATTTGTTTGTATGTACCTTTTATTTGTTTGTATGAAACAGAGAGGTAATAAAAATATTAATATAAACATTTCATTTTGCTGGCCATGTTCCTATGGGGCATCAGTAGGGTACTCCTCTAAGGTCACACAGTCCCGTTCCTATGAAAAATTGTTGCTGCATGTAGATTGGAGGATAAGCAAAAAACCACAACATTCATCTACAGAAAGAAACATAAAGTGTTACAATATCCATTTTGATTTATTCCAAAATTCAACAGTTTTTTAATTTGTTTTCTTAATGGGGCTGAAGTAAGGTACCATCCTTAGGTCAAAAGGACACTTTTAAAATTGCATCAGGTCACCTGGTCACTTTTAAGCAAATTTATGATGGTTGGTTTTAAACATTTATAAAGGTCACAGTAATTTTTAAATGCAACGTCAGGTTGCAGGTCGAATTGTCCATGTTGGAGCCACCTTCATGTCTTCAAAGTTCAAATATATAGCTTATTTTTGTATGATAAAGATATAATGGTGATCTAGTTCACAATTATCTACTTTTCAGGGAATTGTGGAGTCCATTTCATCATTCTGAGATGGGGCATTCATGTCATTTTGAAAGCATCTAGTTTAAATTTGTTTTTCAAGCCAGAATCTTCATTGTTGGTTACTTCATGGTTTATTTTTCTTGGGTGGAGAATTTGTTGTTAGTTGTACAATATGTTGTTGGATGATTTATTGTGTATCCTTAGTATAACTCACATTTGTAAAACACTTATTAAAACTTTACATATAAATAACTCGCTTGACATATACACATAAAAGCTGTCAATTGAATTTTTATGAAAACAAGACATGTATTGGAATCCAAAGATATGGGTAACATACCTGTCAACACAAACACACCAAGTCAAGGATGGAGTCTCCCTTTTTTTTCAGCAAAAGTTTGAAATCTCCTTTAGACCTGTAACCTGCTAGGGAGGTAGAAATCACTTTCTTTATACATGTAACCTGCTAGGGAGGTCGAAAATCTCCTTCTTTAGACCTGTAACCTGCGTGGGAGGTAGAAATCTCCTTCTTTATACATGTAACCTGCTAGGGAGGTAGAAAATCTCCTTCTTTAGACCTGTAACATGCGAAGTAGGTCGTAAATCTGCTTCTTTAGACCTGTAACATGCGAGGTAGGTCGAAAATCTGATTCTTTAGACCTGTAACATGCGAGGGAGGTCGAAAATCTTCTTCTTTAGACCTGTGACATGCGAGGGAGGTCAAAATCTCCTTCTTTAGACCTGTAACCTGGGAGGGAGGTAGAAATCTTCTTTAGACCTGTAACATGGGAGGGAGGTAGAAATCTCCTTCTTTAGACCTGTAACATGGGAGGGAGGTCGAAATCTCCTTCTTTAGACCTGTAACCTGGGAGGGAGGGAGGTAGAAATCTCCTCCTTTAGACCTGTAACCTGTGAGCTGGGAACAGTATGTCAATATATATGTTCCTGCTGTGAGGGAGGTCGAAAATCTCCTTCTTTGACTGTTAACACAGAGATATGTCTCGCCTTTTTGTAATTTTGATAAAGCAAATGTTGAAATTAAAATAGCAATACTTTAACATGTAAGTTATGCAAATATTCAAAGTCAATGAACCATGACTGAAGGTATGTGGCTAAAAAATCTACATGGAAATGCATGAGATGTGCCAATGCTAATACAACTGCATACCAAATACCATTGACCTATCAAAAGTAGTTCCCTTTAAACAAACCTAAACACAAACAGTAACTTGTAAACTACGAAAAAGATTCATGATGAGGGGGCGGGGCTATATAATCTCCATGGAAACGAGACTTGCAAATGCCAATACATTTGCATACCAAATATCATTGACTTAGCATTAGTGGTTCATCAAAAACTGATCTTATCACAAACTAATACCCTGTAAACTAAGCAAAAGTTTCAAAGTCAATAGACTATGATTGAGGGGTGGGGCCAAATATTCTCCATGGAAATGATATGTGCTAATGTTTATACAACTGCATACCAATTAACATTGGCCTACCACTAATGGTTCCCCTTGAACTGACCTAATCACAAACTAATTCATGTAAACTAAGCAAAATTCAATAGACCATGACTGAGGGGGTGGAGCAAAATAATCTCCATGGAAAATAGATATATATATGCCAATGCTTATACAACTGCATACCAAATATCATTGACCTACTATTAGTGGTTCCCCATAAACTGACCTAATCACAAACTAATACATGTAAACTATGAAAAGTTTCAAAGTCAACAGACCATGACTGAGGGGACAGGGCCAAATAATCTCCATGGAAATGAGATGTACCAATGCTAATACAACTGCATACCAAATATCATTGACCTACAAATAGTGGTTCACCATAACCTGACCTAATCACAAACTAATACATTGTTGACGCTGCCGCCGCTGCTGCTGACATTGACGCCGGAAACAGAATACCTAGGTCTCGCTTTTTGACTCCGTCAAGGCGAGACAAAAATCACCCTATTGTCAACCCCTTTCATCATTTGAGTTGTGATATTTTCAGTGTATTCAAAAACAATTCTTTAAATATTTGCATAGTTAAAAGACCTCCCATCTCATCAAGAATATGAATCCATGTATGGATAATTTAATTGTTTTCCTTTTGTTCCTGATATTAAAATACTTTGCATCTAATACAAAATTTCAAAAGAAAAATGGTCATGCAGAACAACCCCTTGATAGTGAAGCTGGAAAGAGGGAGATCTCCCACTTTGTAGCTCCTAAAGTTAAGCAGGTAAAAAGATAAGGCACGATGTAGTATCCAGCAGCATTTAAATTACTAGTATGCTACAACTCGGATCTGTTGTAAATTTGAAATTTGATTTGGAGAAAGAATCTCAACTGGAATCAGAAACTTGTATCTTTAACTGATAGTTACAGCAAAATGCATTGAGTGTGTAGGTAAAGGTAGCTTGCTTGCTAGCTGAACCGTGAAGTCATTATTAGGTTAGGTATACTACCCCCTTTAAGAGTAGACTAGTCCGATAGATAACCAATCTATCTGTCTGTATGACTAGACTACTCCGAAAGGAGGGTAGTATAGTTAACCTTCACGGTTCAGCTAACATTTTGCTGTAATTATCTAAACAATAAACCTCTAAATCAACACAATATCATATGCAAAGACAAAACTTGAATGATGGTTACACGGATGAATGAAGAAGGAAAACAATAATGTTTGCCGACAAGTGGTTTGTGCATAATAAGAAAAATTCAACACTAAGATGAAAATAATTTAATGTTGGCCAACAAGTGGTTTGAGCATTAAGAGAAATTCAACACTAAGATAAAAATGTTTGAAATTATCCTGAAGGTTTACAGTCTCTTTTTGAGCATAGTCTGACTTCTATATTCCCATCATGACAATTGTCCAAATCATTACACTTCCTTTCCCTTGTAGATCTTCCTATGCCGCAGTGTTTAGCGCACTTGGTCCATTGACCCCATGGTCCATATCCTGGAGAAATATAAAAATCATTAAGTTGCAATTAAACAAGTTTCACACATCCTTGACTTACTGCGGCTAGCAAGTCTGGGCTGAGACATTTAGTATTAGTATGTATTAAAACGTTTAAACCCTCTGCAATTGTTTGCACCTGTCCTAAGTCAGGAATCTGATGTTCAGTAGTTGTCGTGTGTTGATGTGGTTTATAAGTGTTTCTCGTTTCTCGTTTTTTATATAGATTAGACCGTTGGTTTTCCCGTTTGAATGGTTTTACACTAGCAATTTTTGGGGCCCTTTATAGCTTGCTGTTCGGTGTGAGCCAAGGCTCCATGTTGAAGACCGTACTTTGACCTTTAATAGTTTACTTTAATAAATTTTGACTTGGCACTCATACCACATCTTCTTATATCTATATATGTCTATCCAAAATAACTGTAAATTCAGAAATGAATGCATACATTTTTGAGGGTCTGGATTTGGAGGGAAAAAGGGGGGGGGGGGGTCTTTCATTTCTATTGTCTTTAATTTTTTATGGCTATTTTTCTCTATTCTTTATACTTTTTGTCCACTATTCTCTTTATATTTTAGCACCTCATTATTCTGTATTCTTTATTTTTTTGGTCCATTCTTCTCTATTCTTTATATTTTTTGCACATTATTCTCTATTCTGTAAACCCCCATCCACACCCTCATTTGTTATTGCAATTGTCGAACAATGTTCAAAAATGAGATTTCAGGAAATATTGCATATGAATAAGGCTATTAAAATGGAAAAAAAACAAGTTTTTGTTTTTGCGAAACCTTTTCACGTTGCAGTTCTTGCAATTAAAGCATGGTAAAAATTTCTGAATTTATAGTAGTCTTGAATCCACTTCTCCAAAACTGTTGAATTGATTTCAATGAAATTTACTTACTACATTTTTACTGTTTTATGTTCTGACTGTGTGGTTGTATATGGTATGCACCTTAAGGTTTCATAAGTTGCGATTTTATTGGGAGTTGAATCATTCCTCTGTATTGTGACAGGACGTTATGTTATGCGTGAATATGGCAGTTGTTTTTCACTTGTTCCGTTAATTGATAACCATCATAACGTCTGTTTTTATAAACTTCCCCTTTTGAATTTGCCTCTGAGTTCGGTATTTTTGTTATACTTTTTGATTAAAACTAACCTTATTTAATTTAAATTCCTTATTTAAGGAACGACTGTAATATTAATTCTGTCTATTCGAAATAACCAAAAAAATGTGGTGCACACTTTTAAATAACCCGCTACGCCGATTATTCAGTGTGCACCGCATTTTTGATGTTATTTCTTCATAGACAGAAAAAATATTACAGTCATTCCTTAAATAAAATTCCAAATTCACTAGAATAAAATAAAGCTGAGACTATCCTGGTTAAAGTGAGATAATCCAGGACCAAGTTGAGAAAAGGTCCAATCCAAAGTTTTAGTCATTAGTTGAATTCCAGTTGTTTAGGACGTTGTTAGCCAATCACAATGTTTTGGTATTCTCTTTTGAAAATATTACCCAGAATGCATTAGATTCCGAAACGGAAAATTGTAATACCTGAGTCTTGATTTTCCTCATCCTCAATCATAGGCGCGTCGTATGATTCCTGATCAACTATGGGGACGTCCCTTGATTTTCGAAATAGCTTTTTTAATATGGCATATTCAGTGTCCGTTTTGTTAGCAGGTGCTTTCTGTGTGGTGTTAGCAGGTGCTTTCTGTGTGGTGTTAGTAGGTGATTTCTGTGTGGTGTTAGCAGGTGATTTCTGTGTGGTTTCAGCAGGTGCTACCTGTGTGGTGTTAGCAGTTGATATCTGTGTGGTGTTAGCAGATGTTATCTGTGTGGTGTTAGCAGGTGATATCTGTGTTGTGTCGGCGGCAGGTGGTATCTGTGTGGTGTTGGCAGGTGATATCGGTGTTGTGTCAGCAGATGATACCTTGGGGAAAAATAAGTTGTTCAAGAAGCATTTCAAGCAGTAACAAATACAACATAATCCTACACAATAAGAGAAACACGGCAACCATGCATAAATGAGGGTGTAAATGGGGGTTTACAGAATAGAGAATGCTGTGCAAAAAATATAAAGCACAGAGAAAAATGGACCAACAAATAAAGAATAGGGAATACAAAGTATAAAGAATAGAGTAAAATGGCCTAAGAAAATAAAGAATACAGGAATGAAGCCCCCACCCCCCCTCCCCCCCAAAAATCCACTGTATCCGATCGATAATAAAATCTGAGAATTCTATATGGTAGTTTCAGATTTAATTTAGGTTAACAGATATCTCCGGTGCACAGCCGCCGATATTACAGTAATTACGTATACACCGGTAGTACTTTTGACTTGCTTTCAAAAACTGTTTCCGTTGATATGATATTGCTTATTACTGTTAGGGTTGTACTTGTGCGATTGTTATATATTTAATCGTTGCTTATTTTATTGTACGGTACGTCACAAGCATTCGTGTACCTGCCTTTTCCGAGGCACTGTTTGAATTTTGTGAGGCGTATGGTCTCAAAACTTAGCTTAACTCCGTCACGCATAGGTGTCAAGCTGTCCTGTGTCATGTTCATGTCCTTCATGGCATTAAATACTGGTTACAAATCTTTAAAAGTTTCTTTTGAATTATTCACAACTTTTATCAAAACTCAAACTAGGGCGATTTAAATCTTGACATATTGCCGAGACATACATACACTTGTCTATTATTCAAGACCACATGACATTACAGCCGATTGCATTGAGTGTGTAGGCAAAGGTAATATCTTTGGTAAGCTTGCTTTCTAGCTGAACCGTGAAGTAATTATTAGGTAAGGTAAACTACCCTCCTTTCGAAGTAGCATAGTCCTACAGACAGATAGATCGGTTATCTGTATGACTAGTCTACTCTTAAAGGAGGGTAGTTTATCTAACCTAATAATGACATCACGGTTCAGCTAGCAAGCAAGCTAACCAAAGATATTACCTTTGCCTACACACTCAATGCAATCGGCTGTAAATGTCTTCTGTTTTTTGTTTGCTTTGGTTTTTTTGTCGTTGGATTACTTGTTTCTTGACATGACGATCCACGGAATAGCAACGACGGATGCCGTAAGAAGTAAGCAGATAGTCATGTCGCCAAACTTTAAATAAACAATTTATTATTTCAAACTCATATTTTGGGAATTCGACATCTAGCTGGGAGCCCTACATCTTAGCCGTCTAAATGGTAATCTGCGCGCCGATCAAGAGCGGGAGGACACTGGATTGATCCTCGACTGTCTCTCTGAACCAAAGAATTAAAAAAAAAACGAATTTTGCTACTTAATTCTTCGGTATGTATGTAATACTTGTCGCTGAACGTAAAGCAGTAAGCCATCAGTCAATTTAACAGAAATTCAATCAACATGAACGCCATAAGAGGCGGGACTATTGTTTTGGGGGAAAATTAAAAAAAAAAATAGTTACGTCGGTTATATAATTATATAAATATATTATCATCACTTACATTTATTCGACTGGCGATCTTAAATCCTATAAGTATAGTTCTGATTGAAAAGCAGCAAGCAATCAATAAATTTAACAACAAATTACTCAACATGAACGCCATGAGAAGTGGGACTATGGTTTTTGGGGAAAATTTTAAACAAAAATAGTTACGTCGTTTATATATATAAATATATTATCATCACTTACATTTATTCGACTGGCGATCTTAAATCTTATTAGTATAGTTCTGAATGATTTTCACGTGTTATTTATGTGTATACTTATGTACAGAGAATTGGGTATAATGTACTATTGCTTTAGGAAGTAACAGACATTATTATGCATATATTTCTTACTACCTTGTTCACCATTGTAAAATATTATTTGTATCATTGGTCTGCCTCTTGTTACAGTGTAAGTGTGTTAATAAAAGTTGAAAGTTGATGTTGAAGTTAACTTACAAGTAAGTTAGGGAATTAAATACTGTAAGGTACAAAGTTAAGTAAAATGTACATTCTTTTTAAATTCTCTTCAAACTTACCTGACCTGAATCATTCCTTATTTGTACACACATAATACATACATACATACATACATAAACGGTATGAAATCATGAGAGAACAAAGCTGTGTTGCCGTATAAACGATTTTTTAAAATTGAAAATGGTTCTGTTCTACTTTCCTGTTTCTCCCCCATTTTTTGTGTTTTTTTTTGTTTTTTTTTCTCCCTACCCCAAATCGTTCACACGTGAAAAGAGATTTGGACTTTACGTGGCGAAAATTCAGACAACAAACACTAAAATAATTTACGCACGAACCATCGCTCCACCCAAAAACATACTTCTTTTCGATTTGATATAGTTAACACTTTCTTGTTATAGTAATTAATATTATGAAATTCAGTCGTCTAAATTGTATTTATTTACTTACACTCTGTACAAGAAAAACGATTTGACAATACAATATGACCAGCAACATTATCATATTCTGCAAAAGAAAAAAAAGGAACAGCTAACACACGATTTGCAAATGATATGTAAATGATATGTAAATGCATACAATTTCGCGTCAGACGTGAAAAAAAAAACATGAATGACATTACTGTAATTATCTATACTAAGTCTTATATTATAATCCACAACTTCTTCGGAAGTTGTAATTCCAGTGTCGGAATGTCAGAATGAATTCTATAATCCTGCAGTTGCTTTTCATTAGGTAAAATGCTTTTTTATTCGATTTGAAAAGTTATTCACTTAATAGAAAATCAAAGAATATAGGGTACCCATCCATGACACATAATCAGTACATGCACAGCAAAAAGCACAGGAACAGCGCTTTTATTGCTGTTCTTCATCTCAAAGTCACTAATTTGAATACAAAATTTCTCACCTTCAAATGAGGATCTGGATTGGTTAAAAGAATAGAGAATAATGACCAAAGAAATAGTCAAATAAAGAAAAATGGATAAAAAAAGATAAAGAATAGAGCATAGGGTGCAAAAGTATAAAAAATAAATATAGAACATAAAAGAATTAGGTAATACTATACTGACTACAGAAGTGAACGATGAAAGCATAAACAATAAAGATATCACCAAATTACTCGAAAATTTAATGGACTGACAATCATTTTCATGAGAATTTTACAGAATAAGCGGTTTTATTGAGAATAACGAAAAATGCGCTAAAACTTTAAAGAATACAGAAATTAAGGACCTCCCATCCAGACCCTCTAATATACTGTTTTTTGTTGTTAAAATTATCCTTGTTTTTGTAGTTATTGTTGTCTTTTTTTAAAGATTTATTTTAACATGATAAAATTATTAATAATACCCTTTCTGTAAAAATGTGTTGAGTCCTCATTTCTGCTTCAACCGATCCCCTTATGCATGCTTATACACTGGCAAGCTGTTCTCATCAATACACCAATCTCGAGTTGTTTTTTTCATGAATGGGTTACACCGGTTGAACCGAGGTCAATCGACGTAATTGACGTTATCGAACAATCGGTTCTTACTGAGACGTAATAACAAAAGCATAGTGACTGGAAATTTACGGGAAAATACACGAATTCAAAAGTCGTCTAATAGATGTGCTTTTATTCTAGCTATGCATGTAATTAAAGACGCATATTTTCCCCAGAAAGAAGATATCATTCTTAAAAATTATGATTGAGAACAGGCAAACATCATGGTACTAATAGTACACAGTCTACGCAATTAGCAATGGGTATGCGGCAATTTCGCGTTTTTTTTTAAAAGGTGTTACATCATATAGAGAGCTTCAATTTATTCACAATTAATAGATACTAGAAATAAAAATTTAAGGTGTTACATCAAATAGAGACCGGCATGCAATTTATTCACAATTAATAAGTACCAGAAATAAAAATTTAAGGCAGGCATTATGACTTTTTACGAGTCATGAAAAAATGGTAGACAGGGAAATCCTAATACAAATATTATGCATGTTGGCGAAGTTGTACAATAATTTGTTGATTTGTGGATAAAATTCATAGACCTATGACTAGATGTAGAATACTTAGCAATCAGAATATATTTATTTGTGCCTGTAGCTATACAACTATTTGCTATGATCTGACATAGGTACCGGGTTACATAAAATATAATTTAATGACATTATTTTTCAGGACCTCCATGTAGTTTGGCACGTTTGGAAACAGTGTCTATGAATTCAAGTTATTGCCAGTATGACAAAGTATAACACTGTATTGAGCTCTCTGTCATTATATTGGTTGATTGATTGATTGGTGTTTACGCCACTTTCAACACTATTGTGCTATTTCATGGCGGTCAGTTTTATTGGTGGAGGAAGCCGGAGTGCTCGGAGAGAACCACCGACCTTCGGTAGGAAAACTGACAATCCTAGTCATTTAAGATTGGAGTCGAGTGCACCTGCCCCGTGCGGGATTCGAACTCACAACCTCAGTGTTGACTGGCTAGTGATACAGTAGTTCGACTACTTAGACCACTCGGCCACCGAGGAGGCCCCTCTCTGTCATTATTAGTGTTTCATTAAAGTTCTTTGCATTGAGATCAGTTCATTGTTTCGCAAATGCATCCTTTATGAAATTATGATTTGTAAAATTAAAGACAACCAACATCTACAAATGAACTGTAAATTAAGATGATTGAAATGTTTGAAACCATCAGCGCAAAGTATTATTGAAGCAGCATCCATGTAACATTAGTTGTTAAAGAGAGATTAATTTTTTTTAATTTACATGTGAACCAAACATTTTTCATCCAAATAGCCAAAGAAAGAAAGTAAATTAATATACTGTAAATTCAGAAATTATTACGTTTTTTTTTTTATTTATGCGAGTAATGCGACTTTTTCATTTCAAATACCAAAGAATTATAATCAATATTTCTTTCAGTCTTAAGTCTACACTATTGATCATTATTAATTTCCAGAAAATTATTTCTATAAATCTGGTAAAATTTTCTTTTATATAACTTCAACCAGGGCTTCAGAGTCTAGGAAGATGACTTTTTATGACAAGAAAAAATTTAAATTACACAACAAAAGTGTATATTCTGCATCAATAAGCTCATCTAGTCCTAAGCGTCATGTGAGATATTTTCGTCACTTAGAACTACTTAGTAGTATTAAACATATACACACATGTACACATAGTTTCTTTTTATAAACTATTTCGATCATTTAAAATTTTGCACTTATGATACTACGATGATCATTAACTAATTTACAGTTTTTGTGGACAAACCCAAATCAGAAATGACCACAACAATGGTACATACATACGGTTCTCAAAAAAAATCTTGTATATCTAAATTACATCATGCAGAAAAGCGCATATTGTCTTCCTCTACTATTTTTTTATTTTTGCTTCTATCCGAAAGCAAGGTTGTGGAACAAAGTTAAACAGAATGATTCCATTACAGTCTCAAACAGGGAAACCAAATATTGAATAAACGACACTGCTAAATTGAGTGTTTGGTACTGGTAAAAAATTCAGGATTGATGTTACTGTGAAACACAATTTCACATAAAACCCTATGAAAAAACTTCTTTTTTTTACAACAAAAAAAAAACAACTGTCAACATACTAAAACTGATCAACTGAATACTATCCACACTGATCTGTGTCCACATTTGTAAAATAGAGAACATATGAGTGAATCAACTCCATTTCTACAATTCTGTCAGTCATTAGTAACTGTTGAACAATCTGTCAGTCATAAGTATATGTTGAACAATCTGTCAGTCATAAGTATTTGTTGAACAATCTGTCAGTCAAATGTATCTGTTGAACAATCTGTCAGTCAAAAGCAACTGTTGAACAATCTGTCAGTCAAAAGTATTTGTTGAACAATCTGTCATTCAAAAGTATCTGTTGAATAATCTGTCAGTCAAAGTATCTGTTGAACAATCTGTCGGTCAAAAGTATCTGTTAAACAATCTGGCAGTCAAAAGTATTTGTTGAACAATCTGTCATTCAAAAGTACCTGTTGAATAATCTGTCAGTCAAAAGTATCTGTTGAACAATCTGCCAGTCATAAGTATTTGTTGAACAATCTGTCAGTCAAAAGTATCTGTTGAACAATCTGTCGGTCAAAAGTATCTATTAAACAATCTGGCAGTCAAAAGTATCTGTTAAACAATCTGACAGTCAAAAGCAACTGTTGAACAATCTGTCAGTCAAAAGTATTTGTTGAACAATTTGTCATTCAAAAGTATCTGTTGAATAATCTGTCAGTCAAAAGTATCTGTTGAACAATCTGACGGTCAAAAGTAATTGTTGAACAATCTGTCAGTCAAAAGTATTTGTTGAACAATCTGTCATTCAAAAGTATCTGTTGAATTATCTGTTAGTCAAAAGTATCTGGTGAACAATCTGACGGTCAAAAGTATCTGTTGAACAATCTGACGGTCAAAAGTATCTGTTGAACAATCTGTCATTCAAAAGTATCTGTTGAACAATCTGACGGTCAAAAGTATCTGTTAAACAATCTGCCATGCAGTCAAAAGTACCTATGGAACAGTCTGTTAGTTAAAAGTATTTATTTACAAATCTGTCAGTCAAATGTATCTGTCTAACAATCTGTCAGTCAAAAATATCTGTTGAACAATCTGTCAGTCAAAAGTATTTGCTGAACAATCTGTCATCAAAAGTATCTGTTGAACAATCTGTCAGTCAAAAGTAACTGTTGAACAATTTGTCAGTCAAAATTATCTGTTGAACAATCTGTCGGTCAAAAGTATCTGTTAAACAATCTGGCAGTCAAAAGTATTTGTTGAACAATCTGTCATTCAAAAGTACCTGTTGAATAATCTGTCAGTCAAAAGTATCTGTTGAACAATCTGCCAGTCATAAGTATTTGTTGAACAATCTGTCAGTCAAAAGTATCTGTTGAACAATCTGTCGGTCAAAAGTATCTATTAAACAATCTGGCAGTCAAAAGTATCTGTTAAACAATCTGACAGTCAAAAGCAACTGTTGAACAATCTGTCAGTCAAAAGTATTTGTTGAACAATTTGTCATTCAAAAGTATCTGTTGAATAATCTGTCAGTCAAAAGTATCTGTTGAACAATCTGACGGTCAAAAGTAATTGTTGAACAATCTGTCAGTCAAAAGTATTTGTTGAACAATCTGTCATTCAAAAGTATCTGTTGAATTATCTGTTAGTCAAAAGTATCTGGTGAACAATCTGACGGTCAAAAGTATCTGTTGAACAATCTGACGGTCAAAAGTATCTGTTGAACAATCTGTCATTCAAAAGTATCTGTTGAACAATCTGACGGTCAAAAGTATCTGTTAAACAATCTGCCATGCAGTCAAAAGTACCTATGGAACAGTCTGTTAGTTAAAAGTATTTATTTACAAATCTGTCAGTCAAATGTATCTGTCTAACAATCTGTCAGTCAAAAGTATCTGTTGAACAATCTGTCAGTCAAAAGTATTTGCTGAACAATCTGTCATCAAAAGTATCTGTTGAACAATCTGTCAGTCAAAAGTAACTGTTGAACAATTTGTCAGTCAAAATTATCTGTTGAACAATCAGTCAGTCAAAGTATCTCTTAAACAATCTGTCAGTCAAAAGTATCTGTTGAACAAAATGTTAATCAAAAGTACCTGTTGAACAATCTGGCAGTCAAAAGTATTTGATGAACAATCTGTAAGTCAAAAGTATCTGTTGAACAGTCTGTCAGTCAAAAGTAACTGTTGAACAATATGTTAATCAAAAGTACCTGTTGAACAATATGTCAGTCAAAAGTATTTGACGAACAATCTTTCAGTCAAAAGAATCTGAACAATCTGTCAGTCAAAAGTATCTGTTGAAAAATCTGTCTAGCAATTTCAGATCGTAAATTGAAGATAGTGTAAATTTATTGTTGTCCTGAAAATGCATGAAATATTTGCTACTGGACATGAACTTACAATTCATAGATAAGTCAATTATTCTGATATTTTTCTTAACTACGTTTCCATTAAGAAACAGAAAATTCTTTGAGCTGTATTTCAAAGAAGAAAATTATAAATTCACCTGTTTCTTTATTTTTCAAAAATTTAAAGACATGACACCGAATTATCAAAATACAACATCGTCCTGAACATACATGAAATATTTCCTACATGACCTTAAGCAACCAACAATCAATCAATCAAAATACAACACATCTAAGAAGAATGCCCTTGTTATGGATCAGATTAACAATTTCAATAAATGTTTAGATAGAAGAAAACACATAAAGCTTTTTGAATTATGTTGCATGCTACTTCAGTTCCAGGGACAAAGAAAAATAGTGAGAAATTCTCGACATATATGAATAATTATAACTTTATGCATTTTCAAATAACTTAAACATATTTCTTTCCATTTGTGCCATCTTTTGACGTTATATTATCAACTTAGTTTTCTTAATTATTCCTAAAAACTTTATGAGATTTAAATTCGTTTATAAATTGTCAATCTAGTAACAAGGGATGCAACTGAACTCATAACTGAAGTAATCCTTGCCACTGGACACCAAACTTCCATCAGTTAATCAATGTAATGTATCGAATATTACTAGTTCTAGTAACAGGCATTTCATATATAAAAACTATATATTTCAGTATAAAAACTCCATACAAACAACAACTATCAGAGATCATCACATTGCAGTATACATAATTCATTGTATGTGAAGGCCGTACGGTGACCTATAGATGTTAACTTCTATGTCATTTTGGTCTCTGGTGGAGAGTTGTCTCATTAGCAATCATACCACATCTCCTTATTTTCATAAGTCGCGTTGACAGTATATAGTCAAAGCAATAACATAAAAGGGACTAAGTTTACAGGATCCCGAATCGCCTACCTGGTAAAATATGCAACATTTAAACTTTAATACTCCAAGAAGAAGTCGACTGACAATTCGGCGATATTGAATAATCTGTAATTCATTTTATACTGATCATTTGTTGGTGTTAAGTTAACGTTTTTTATATTGAAAAAGTGACAAATACAGATGGCAATCTAGAAAGAAATAAAAGTATTGTTCAAGGAACTATTGAAATTACAGATGATCAATTAATGGAGATCGAAACTACAAATGTAAGGAGTGCAGAAACAGACACTGTAGTAGAGAAATGTACACTTGAATTACAGGAGAGCAATACACATTTTTCAAACACTCATTCCAAAAAAGCTGATGTAGAGAAAATATACAAAGTTACAGAATGTGCTAAATTATCAGAAACTAATGAAAACCGGTTAGTTGAAACTATGAACACAGAGAGAAACGACACAATAATGTCAACTCGAAATGATAATCAAGAGCAGTCTGATGAATCGGATGATGATAGTGATGATGATAGTGATGGTGATGATGAGGATGATGATGAGGATGAGGATGAGGATGAGGATGATTGTGAAAAACTGGTCACAGTTGATGAAATTATTTCGAAAGCAGTGATAAAGAAAAGTAGACTGTTGCCCGATAAATTTATTGCGAAAATTAAAGATCGACCGAGAAACTTATAAAATATGACCGGGGACGTGACAAAGTAGAAGAAGTTCGACCAACTAATTCTGATTATCACACATTTAAGCAAAACGTCGAACAAGATTTTCAAGATGTAAGAAACTATGAATTTCGTCCGGATGATACTGACGAGAAACTTTGCTTGCTACTGGTTGCAATTGATAATGGACTTTATATTCATAAGAAATGATTTATTTTCAATGCTAAAATAAAGTTGAATGTGTGAAGGAATTGGAATCCATCCACATACATGCAATTTTTGTTTTCATATAAGCATATCTATTTTAACATTATGATGTTGTAAAAAATATGAATAAGAATTATTATTTTTGTTTGGATCGAGACAATGTGTCAATTCGGATTTTTATTTTATTGAAAAAAGTTTAAAAATCAAAAACAAAAACAGAGTGAAAATGCTGCAATATGTAAAGTATGAATATATCTGTGTATGGTATTGTAGGGAATATCTTTAAACTGTGATATTATAGTAGATGAATACGTGTAATAATTGTATAATGTGCAAATATGAAGTATGATTTAATAAAGATAAAAAAAAAAAAATTTAACGTTTCTCTCTATTTTTTTATAATTTTCAGTATACTATAGTGATAGTCAAAAACGAAAAACATTGATAAAAATAGAAATTGATTGGAAATAACATACTGGCGATTTCTGCTTGTACAACTCATATGTCGAAATTGTCATGTTAGCTTATAAAACCCGGTTTAACCCACCATTTTCTTCAGAAAGTGACTGTTCCAAGTCAGAAATATGACAGTTGTTTCCATCGGTTCGTTGGTTGATATAATCTAGACTGGGTCAACTATCGATTTCGACCACAATAAGTTATTTATGTAAGTGGATCTTATCTTACTGAGCGTTTTTGAAATTTAAGGTTTCTCTTTCAATATAGTAGTTTTCTAGATTTGAGCCAAAAACGTGAGAAAAATATCGTAGTTCAAAGGCAATAATTTCTGTAAGGAGTTGACTGACGATTTTCGTCACTTTTATTTATCAGTAATTGTTGTCTTGGTTGTCATTTTGAACTTTTAAAAATACTATTATGATTTTGTAGAAAATAGCCTAAAACCTCAAAACCTGCAAAATCGCTAAAATTGGACATTTAAAGGGCAATTACTCCAACTTAGGTCCTACCCAATGTAAGAGGGTCTATATGGGGTTTACAGAATAGAGAATAATGGCAAAACAAAAATAATGAATAGAGACGAAAGAGCAAAAAATATAAAGAATAAGGAAAAATGAGGTGCAAAAATATAAAGAATAACTCTGGAAAATTAAAGATTTGGGTTATATAGTACTCATTACAGACATAAACGATGTACAGAGTAAAGAATTGGGTTATATAGTACTCATTACAGACATAAACTATGTACAGAGTAAAGAATTGGGTTATATAGTACTCATTACAGACATAAACCATGTACAGAGTAAAGAATTGGGTTATATAGTACTCATTACAGACATAAACCATGTACAGAGTAAAGAATTGGGTTATATAGTACTCATTACAGACATAAACCATGTACAGAGTAAAGAATTGGGTTATATAGTACTCATTACAGACATAAACCATGTACAGAATAAAGAATTGGGTTATATAGTACTCATTACAGACATAAACCATGTACAGAGTAAAGAATTGGGTTATATAGTACTCATTACAGACATAAACCATGTACAGAGTAAAGAATTGGGTTATATAGTACTCATTACAGACATAAACCATGTACAGAATAAAGAATTGGGTTATATATAGTACTCATTACAGACATAAACCATGTACAGAATAAAGAATTGGGTTATACATAGTACTCATTACAGACATAAACCATGTACAGAATAAAGAATTGGGTTATATATAGTACTCATTACAGACATCAACCATGTACAGAATAAAGAATTGGGTTATATAGTACTCATTACAGACATCAACCATGTACAGAATAAAGAATTGGGTTATATAGTACTCATTACAGACATAAACCATGTACAGAATAAAGAATTGGGTTATATATAGTACTCATTACAGACATAAACCATGTACAGAGTAAAGAATTGGGTTATATAGTACTCATTACAAACATAAACCATGTACAGAATAAAGAATTGGGTTATATAGTACTCATTACAGACATAAACCATGTACAGAATAAAGAATTGGGTTATATATAGTACTCATTACAGACATAAACCATGTACAGAGTAAAGAATTGGGTTATATAGTACTCATTACAGACATAAACCATGTACAGAATAAAGAATTGGGTTATATAGTACTCATTACAGACATAAACCATGTACAGAATAAAGAATTGGGTTATATAGTACTCATTACAGACATAAACCATGTACAGAATAAAGAATTGGGTTATATATAGTACTCATTACAGACATAAACCATGTACAGAATAAAAGAATTGGGTTATATAGTACTCATTACAGACATAAACCATGTACAGAATAAAGAATTGGGTTATATAGTTCTCATTACAGACATAAACCATGTACAGAATAAAGAATTGGGTTATATATAGTACTCATTACAGACATAAACCATGTACATAATAAAGAATTGGGTTATATATAGTACTCATTACAGACATAAACCATGTACAGAGTAAAGAATAAACCATGTACAGAATAAAGAATTGGGTTATATAGTACTCATTACAGACATAAACCATGTACAGAGTAAAGAATTGGGTTATATAGTACTCATTACAGACATAAACCATGTACAGAGTAAAGAATTGGGTTATATAGTACTCATTACAGACATAAACCATGTACAGAGTAAAGAATTGGGTTATATAGTACTCATTACAGACATAAACCATGTACAGAGTAAAGAATTGGGTTATATAGTACTCATTACAGACATAAACCATGTACAGAGTAAAGAATTGGGTTATATAGTACTCATTACAGACATAAACCATGTACAGAATAAAGAATTGGGTTATATAGTACTCATAACAGACATAAACCATGTACAGAGTAAAGAATTGGGTTATATAGTACTCATTACAGACATAAACCATGTACAGAATAAAGAATTGGGTTATATAGTACTCATTACAGACATAAACCATGTACAGAGTAAAGAATTGGGATATATAGTACTCATTACAGACATAAACCATGTACAGAATAAAGAATTGGGTTATATAGTACTCATTACAGACATAAACCATGTACAGAATAAAGAATTGGGTTATATAGTACTCATTACAGACATAAACCATGTACAGAATAAAGAATTGGGTTATTTAGTACTCATTACAGACATAAACCATGTACAGAATAAAGAATTGTGTTATATAGTACTCATTACAGACATAAACCATGTACAGAATAAAGAATTGGGTTATATAGTACTCATTACAGACATAAACCATGTACAGAGTAAATAATTGGGTTATATAGTACTCATTACAGACATAAACCATGTACAGAGTAAAGAATTGGGTTAATAGTACTCATTACATACATAAACCATGTACAGAATAAAGAATTTATCTAATTACAGAAAATTTGAATAGTAAAATCGTTTTCATGAGATATTTACAGAATAAGCGTTATTAGATGAAGAAAAATGCCTTGAATATTAAAATAATAAAGAAATAAAAGACCCCTCATCAAGACCCTCATGTAAGTTTTGCTCTAACTGCTTTAGTTTTTTTTAGATATGACTTCTAGATCATTTAAATGTACTTTTTTCCGTATTTCTCGCTAAGAGGTTCAAAAACTACATACAATTCACTGAAAACATACATCACCGTCGATTATTTATTCTATAAACAAGCGTTCTGTCCGTCTCGAAGTAAGGAGGAAATTAGTGACGACTTCTATTGACGTCGGACGTCATACTATCCTCAGTAGTAACGTTGTTGTTGAGCGAAGCAGTTTATAAATTTTATTTGAACACAGAGGACCACGAAGAAAATTGATATTTTGTATAGTTCAGAAGATAAATCAGGAAATCAAAGAGTTGAGTAAGTATATCATGTTATTTCATCTCATTTTAAAAGTTATTTCATGTCAACTGTTTCTTTTTCGAACTATACGATTGAAAATAGTAATGGTTGCGAATATTTTTACACAACATATTAAGAGTCACGGAAAAAAAACAGTAGAAAGTTATGAATATTTCAGTATAATGATTCAATCTATATGTACGATTTGATTGTGTAACCTGTAGCTAGGCACAGATCAGATGAAAATACTGTAAACCAACTAATTTTCGCAAGCAATTTATTTTCGCGACTTTCGCTAGTAGAAAAATATAATATCGGACATAAATCGTCGCGAATATGTAAAACTTAAGATTTTTTCATTATTCAACTCCATCAAGTAAAATTTGAAAATCGCGAAATTAAATCGCCGCGAGGTAGACTAGAAAGGGCTAAACGCGAAATAAAGTATCAGCGAAAAAAAGTTGGTGACATATGTTTTATGTTCATATGGCTGAACACCCTTTCGCCGTTTTCTCCTCGGCCGTCTACGCGACCTTTAACTTGTTAATAACACGATATTTTAATACATATTTTTGAATTAAATGTGTTATGTAATTGGTGTAGAGATATCAAGGACTTTTACGATTATTATAAATAAGTGGCATTAACTTAAGTATAATATATTAACTTTTTGAAACATTTTTTTCGGGATTTTAGAAAGATTTTGATGTTCAACATCATGCATTTCCCTAATCGACGTTCACATTTAAAAGATATATAATACGGAAATTAGAGGTGACTCAAAGTTCGGATGTCACAAAATTCCTGATCAGTTGCACCGAGCAGTGCATATTTTATCAAAATAAAACTTCTGTAACTTAGAGTATACATGAAATGAAAAATTTTCGAACATACTTTTTAGGAATTAGGAAATATTAAAATGAAAAAAAAAAGTAGAATATAAAATTTAACTGAAATAACATTTTTTTAGATAGTCGATACAAGTAGTATAGGATAGGACT